TGCATCGGCAGGCGGACTCTCAACCACTGCGCCACCAGGGAAGCCCTCTTTCATCTTTGATTCACCAGCTTCAGACACAGTGCCTAAGGCATAGAGACACCAAGAGAATGTTGCACTGGATTTATGTTGCGCCAAACCCCATTTTACTTTTAAATTCACTGCTAATAAGGTCTTTTATAAAGAGAAGGAATACCATTTAAAATAACAATGGGGAAGGGTAGTGGGGAAGAGGGGTTATTCCCAGAGATTATTTTGTTTACTTTGAGCATTTTTTGATTTGAAGAAACATATTTGACTGTAGACTTTTTAGGAAAGTATTTAAAATTATTTTTGTATAAGTATTTTAATAGCAGTTTTATTGAGATATAATTCATATACCATAAACTTAAAATTATTTACTTTAACAAAAATAAAAATCATCTGTAGTCTTAACAGATAACACGTTAATGTTTTGGTATACATCCTTCTAATCTTTTTTCCTAAACAGGTTTTTCTTGGGTGTAAGTACCTGACTTGAAGCAGCAAAATGATAGTACAAATTATAACAACATTTCACTGATTAAGAAGAATATATGTTAGGGCTTCCCCGATGGCACAGTGGTTGAGAGTCCACCTGCCCATGCAGGGGGCACGGGTTTGTGCCCTGGTCCGGGAAGATCCCACATGCCGCGGAGCGGCTGGGCCCGTGAGCCATGGCCGCTGAGCCTGCGCGTCCGGAGCAACGGGAGAGGCCACAACAGTGAGAGGCCCGCGTACCGAAAAAAAAAAAAAAAAAAAAAAGAAGAATACATGTTAAAGTACACTCAAAACAAATGTTACGTGGAAAATATCTCAAATTTCTAGCAGTAGTTATCTTGGGGAAGGTGGGAGAAAGCTAGGTTTGCTGAGGAGTGGAGGCAAAGCATATTTTAGTTTTACCTCTAATGCTGTAATTTTTTAAAAAGAAGGATAGATTCTGGGTATTAACTATGCATTTAAAAAAAAGAGAAAAAACTCCAAACATTAAAAAAAAGAGTTGCCACATGTATAAAATAAGTTTTGAAGGGGGTGGTTATGATAAATGTAAAAGAATGAACATGTCTAGTCTTGGCAGGAGCCTTGCCCTGCTAACCTGGCCTCACCCTCACTCCTTCTACAATCAGCTCCTGACTCCTTAGTTCCAAAGCCATTAAAACTGCATCACATGATTGAGAAGTGCCGGCGTCATCTCAGTCCTCTGAAATTCAGGTAGCTAAACTGTTTTTTTAATTTTTAATTTTCTTCCAGAAATATGTTCCTGATTATCAACTTTCAGTGATTCTTAAAGGGAGAACTGATTAGCGTCAAATAACTTAACAAACATACATATATTAAACACTTACATATTTTAAAAATGTTCAGTTCAGTTTCCAAATGTTCCACTTGGAGTTATAGCAACAGTACACCATAGTTAGGCTGCATAATTGTGTTTTCAGGTTTAAACCACGTGCAAGCCACCTGGGATTTGGTAGCTAAGTACAGTCTTTTCTCGTTGCGATGGCATCAGGAACATGAGATGATGGGGGCTGCAGGTCACCCACTATGCAAACGTGCGGCAGCTGTTCATATTGCAGGCATGTGGCAAAGTCTGCAATATGTCACCGCACATGATTTTTCTCTATACTAGGCCTATACCTAATTGGGATGAGGCTGGCATTTCTGAAGCCAGCATCCTACATGTAAAGCAGCTAGAAATAAGAAAGAGACATATGGGGCTTCCCTGGTGGCGCAGTGGTTGAGAGTCCGCCTGCCGATGCAGGGGACACGGGTTCGTGCCCCGGTCCGGGAAGATCCCACATGCCGCGGAGCAGCTGGGCCCGTGAGCCATGGCCGCTGAGCTTGCGTGTCCGGAGCCTGTGCTCCGAAAAGGAGGGGCCACAACAGTGAGAGGCCCGCGTGTGGCAAAAAAAGTAAAGAAAGAGACATATGCCCCTAGGCTGATGCGTAGATAACTCAAGTAATGAGAAAAGCTAGGAATGGAATGACCTGTTGTAGCAGTTCACTGTTCTGCCGGCTCCATTTGACAAGTCTTCAAAGCTCTCCTTCGGGAGCTGCCCTGAGCCACATACACCTTGCTCTTTTCTACTGTGTGACAGTATGGCAAGAAGTAGTACATATGCCTGTAAGCTGCCTACGTAGGCAGTAGTACACATTATTTTATCATACAGCTACATGGAGCTCTTTCCATGAGAAGTGTTTTTTACACAAACTGTTTACTGTTTCTGTAAGATACATATAAGTTTTTTTTAAAAGTGCTTCATTTAAAAAAAAATCTACACTTATCATATCCAAAAGTGCTCTGAAAACAGAAAGTTTCTTCCTAAATTCTGCGACAAAAACTGATCTGACCTGATCTGAGGCTCTCATAGTCTCAGTTAACACACTTACTGGTGGTATTTGCGTTTGATAATGGGTGCCATCCTAGACTCTTGGGATTTTTTTGTTTGGTTGTTTTTTTTAAAGAAGATGTTGGGGGTAGGAGTTTATTAATTAATTTATTTATTTTTGCTGTGATGGGTCTTCGTTTCTGTGCGAGGGCTTTCTCTAGTTGTGGCAAGTGCGGGCCACTATTCATCGCGGCCTCTTGTTGCGGAGCACAGGCTCCAGACGCGCAGGTTCGGTAGTTGTGGCTCACAGGCCTAGTTGCTCCGCAGCATGTGGGATCCTCCCAGGGCTCGAACCCGTGTCCCCTGCATTAGCAGGCAGATTCTCAACCACTGCGCCACCAGGGAAGCCCTCTTTTGGGATTATTGAGTAAAATATTTTATAGGTACCCTATCACTTTCTAAAATCTGAAAAATTTTGATTCTAAAACACAACTAACCCTAGGTTTTCAAACAAAGGATTGTGAAGCAGTATGTCCCCAAAGTGTTACTGATGTGGTGATTCTACCAAACCCCAAATGGCTCCAATGAGTATTTTTGCCCCAAAGTATGTCATGAGGATGAATCTCCAGGAAAAGAGAAAAGAGGCATGTTAGAACAGCTGTAGGAGTAAAGAGGCTGCACAAAAAACTGCCACAGGAATGATCTGGTAAGTGATGTAGCTCTAAGACTGTATAATTACCAGAAGCTATCCATCCATAAACACAGCACACGGCACTGCTGCTAATAGTTGTCTGCATAAAAATGAAAATTCCCACTCTTTTGAGACTTTTAGGTATAGGATATTCTTTTCTTTTTTATCTTTTTTTATTGACATACGACATTAGTTTCAGGTGTACAACACAATGATTGGACATTTGTGTATGGATATTCTTATTTAGTCGTTCTCAACCTGTTTAACCATTAGACTATCCCAGGGAGGGAGCTTTCTAAAAATGAACCATGCATGGGTCTCACTTTCAGACATTTTGATTTACTTGGTCTAGAAAGGAGCCTTGACAACAGCGTTTTAAAAAACTCCCTACATGACTCTAATGGGCAGCCAGAGATTTAAAATGTCCCAGTACCCAGGCTGTACCCCAGACCAGACACAATCTTTGGATGAAGCCCAGACACAAGTAATTTTTGTAAAGATGCTCAGGTGATGCTAATGTATACACAAAGCAGATGGGTTGCGACCCACTGAGTTTCTTGGCTTAAGGCTTAAGTGTGTCAATTGTTTTTTTAAAAATTCTTCCTGGGGCTTCCCTGGTGGCGCGGTGGTTGGGAGTTCGCCTACCGGTGCAGGGGACACGGGTTTGTGCCCTGGTCCAGGAGGATCCCGCGTGCCGCGGAGCGGCTGGGCCCTTGAGCCATGGCCGCTGAGTCTGCGCGTCTGGAGCCTGTGCTCCGCGGAGGCAGAGGCCACTGCAGTGAGAGGCCCGCGTACCGCAAAAAAAAAAAAAAAAAAAAAATTCTTCCTTAACCAAGTCATTTCTAGATAATCACTGTAGCAGGGTCACCAACAAAGAAAATAAAGCTTTCTCCACTCTGACAGTGGCTTATTCATGCAATCTCTCCTCAATTTTTTTATGAATGCAAAAGGGGAAGGGGAAGAAAGGTATGGAAATCACATGAGAAATATTTCAAAATACTTTAGCACAATAATCCATACTACGTTAAACCCCTTTAGTACGTACATCAAAGTGAAGAACAAAACTGAAACGCAGAATTCACTTTGTTTGAGGTTATATGTAAAGGAGAGCACAACTTAGAAGGTACATAATAGGAAATCATAGCATCTTCCAGTGAATTCTAGGACAGCAAATGAAATAATAATTGCAATAATTTTCCAGTGGCTCTTTAACTGGTCAAGATGCCAATGTAAATCAGATTCCTAGACAAATTTCAAAGAAAGCTAGAAAATACATTAAAAATATTAAATTCGGGACTTCCCTGGTGGCGCAGTGGTTGAGAGTCCGCCTGCTGATGCAGGGGAGGCGGGTTCGTGCCCCGGTCCGGGAGGATCCCACATGCCGCAGAGCGGCTGGGCCCGTGAGCCATGGCCGCTGAGCCTGTGCGTCCGGAGCCTGTGCTCCGCAGTGGGAGAGGCCACAACGGTGAGAGGCCCGCGCATCGCAAAAAAAAAAAAAAAAAAAAAAAAAAAAAAAAATTAAATTCAAGATAATTTCTACTCAGAGACAAACTAAAACATATAGTAAGGTGCATATTTTTTAGACGTATCTCTTTTCCTTTATCTAAAAATAAATTTTTTTCATGCATTCTAATGGTCACATGAAAAAGACATTTACTTTTTTTCATCACTAACCCTGAGGAAGGAAGAACAAACGTGGAGTAGACCTCACAGCTCACCAGGAACCAAACTCCACACTTTTTTTTTTTTTTTTGCGGTACGCGGGCCTCTCACTGTTGTGGCCTCTCCCGTTGCGGAGCACAGGCTCCGGACGTGCAGGCTCAGCGGCCATGGCTCACGGGCCCAGCCGCCCCAACTCCACACTTTTTACAATAATAAATGGCAAGTAATGGGAGAAGTCCAGGATACTACACTTATTCAGGCTTCCACACACATCGGTTTAAATACTGAAAACAGATACAACATTTGGATAATTGGCATGGTGACATTTCTCTGCCACAACTGAGCCATTTAAAACTTTTATTACTTTTAGTCCCTTTACTGATTTAAACAAACAAAATAAAATTTATATCTACCATGCAGGAACTTTCAGTTCAATATATAGGGACATTATAGTTTCACGGCTCAAGTTCCATTCAGCAGAAGAAAAATATGCATAAATTCTATGAGCCTTGTCTTTCACCAAAAAGATATTAGTTGTTACAATGGAGTTCAGAGAGAGGAAAAACGTGGAGTTCCATTGTAATGGAATAGAGGAGAAGCTGGCCTTTCTGCTTTGTCATTACAATTACTCTTCTTGGGATGAGACTTGGAATTGCAAATTTAGCTGAATTTACCGAAGTTTTAACTTTAGTAAATGAAATAAAATTCACTGTCTGGGCCAAAAACCCCAAGCAGCTGCTGTTGGGAGCAAGAGGGCGACAAGGACAGAAGAAAACAGATTCACGGCATTGTTATCAAGAATGGGTTTCCCTGCTATGTACTTCACCTCATTCGCTGGGCTGCTGACCACCATGCCAGTGCTTTCATCCAAACCTGCAATGAAAAAGAAGCAAGTGAGGTGGAAAATCCAAATGACTTGAAAAAAAAAATTAGCTTTCTCCTCCAAAGGAGATAATCTTTCAAAGATTCTCAGCCATTCGTAAAATGACTTTAGAGGATAATGTATATGATGAGTGATACAGAACCCATGATTACAAAAGGTCTCTTTGAATAAATGGGTTTCAATACACCTCAATGCTGCTCTCTCAACAATGCTGGAATTCTTTCCAAAGTAGAAGGGAGAAACTGAAAAGCAGAGATGGCATGAAACTGGCAGACAGGGCTTGCCTTCCCAGTGGCTCCCCTCCTAGAACCAACCTGTGAGACTCCTGAGAATAGGAGCCTCTACAATGGATACCCAGGAGTAGCAAGGTGCCTACACAAAGAAGGCACACAAAGATGAATCTAATCTGCTCCCCAGCCCACATTTTTTTCCCCAACCCACTCAATATGATCAGAAACTTCCCAGTTAGAGCCCAGTTTAGAATAAAACCTAGGCTCTTTACAAAAACGTATAATGGGTGTGTGTGTGTGTGTGTGCACGTGCGTGTGCACATATAGTTACTAACCCTTTAGTATAAATTAAAATCAGATTGCTTCCTCCTCAGCATCTAGATAAGACTAATGAACCTGAGAGAACAAATGTTCTGATGGTGGAAAGGGGAGTGGAAGGACAAGTCGATTATCTTGGGACATGAAGAGAATTGGGAGCAGCGAACCATTCTCCAGATGTCTAGCCTCTTCACTGGATGAATCAAAGGAGAAAACGTGGTTGGTTAGAGGGTGGAGCAAATACACACCTAACAGAACATGTCAGTACACTGACATGACAGGAGAGCCTTAGATGCAAAGCACAGAAAATTCTGGAGAAAACGGGCTCTCTCATATATCTTGAGTGGGACTAAAAACTCAGTGGGGAGGATAGCAAACATGATGTCACAGTAGAAAAGTACATCATATGTGTAGAGTCAGATTATTAGAGTAATTATTTCTCAAATGGACTTGGAAAATAAATGGAAGGAGGGACATTATAATGATCTGACTCCAAAATTCTGCGTCCGTGGGATTAGGTAAAGTCCCATAAGCAAAAGCATCTGTCTCCTGCACTATCCTATCTTCCCTGCAGAGCTTCTACTCACTGCTCTGTAGGAGTAATTCTCTTTCAATCAATTTGACACAAAAGAATGAGAAATTCAAAATGGTAGAGGAGACTTTGCTCTTTCATTCTGGGTCCCCCAACAACCTGTGTCTTGGCAATTGTTTTTATTATCACATCTCTTTTTTTTCCTTTTCCATATTTCTTCCCCATTTCTTTCTTTTTTTAAAGATTTATTTATTTATTTATTTTTGGCTGCGTAGGGGTTTAGTTGCAGCACGCAGGTTCTTCGTTGTGGTGCGCGGGCTTCTCTCTAGCTGTGGCGTGTGGGTTTTCTCTTCTCTAGTCGTGGCGTGCAGGCTCCAGGGCACTAGAGCTCTGTAGTTTGTGGCACGCAGCCTCTCGAGTTGACGCGTGCGAGCTCAGCAGTCATGGCACGTGGGCTTAGTTGCCCCACGGCATGTGAGATCTTAGTTCCCTGACCAGGGATTGAACCTGCATCCCCTGCACTGTAAGGCGGATTCTTTACCACTGGACCACCAGGGAAGTCCCCCCATTTTTTTTAAGGACACATTTATTCAGTGTCATGATCAGACTACTGCATTTAACAGTCAACAGCATGGGTGAAAAAAACAACCCTACATTAAAAATCCTTGTTGTAATGCTCTACACTTTCCACAGAAAAGAAACTAAAATAACTTATTATACAATTAGTCAAAAATACAGTCCTCGAATTTTTTGCCCATAAACATGAGTGTTGTCTAAAACATATCTTCTTTGTAGCAGCTAGGCCCTGCCACCAGTGTGCATGGCTGAGTTCCCATTTCTTTACTACACCAATAAGTTACAACAATAAGGTAATGTTCTTACCACTAAATTGCATGGTAGCTCCTAAATACGAATCCACAATTGATCCTAGTAATCCAGCCAGACCCCCAAATGCAATAATTGGCCACTGAGGAGCAGAAACGTCTAAATCATTAACAAAAACCAACTGCGTGAGGAAGTATGCAATGCCCACAAAGGTCCCTCCAAGGAGACTGGAGGCAAGGCCCACCATCGTAACTCCTCCGTTGGTCCCTAAAGAAGAACATGGATAAAATCATCTGGTTAACAATCAGCAAACACATAAAGTCAAAAAAAGCAAAATATTTTGGTACCTATCTAATCAAGACTAATTTAAAGAAAGGGTTCACTTTGATGCAATCCAAAGACCATCCTACTTAGAAAACAGGCTTTTCTCCTCAGTAACTCCTGACATTCTAAGCAGTGACGTGGAATAGTTTAGTAGAGCTAGACTGCCTGGTTTCAATCTTAGTCCTGTCATTTCCAAGTGTGGTTACTGTGGTGAAGTAACTAAGTTACTTAACTAAGTTACCTAACTTCTCTATGCCTTAGTTTACTCATTTGTAAGATGTAAACAATAAAAGGACCAATTCACATGGTTATTAAGAGTAAACAGTAATCCATGGAGAGCAGTTAGAACACTGCTTTGCACATAGTAGGTACTCAAATATGTTAACTGTTATGATGATGATGATGATGATGAAGGCGAAAAGAAGGAAAATGAGAGGAAGGAGGAGGAGACAATGATGAAGTACTAGTAGCAGTACTAGCAGTAGCAGTAGTTGATAATGATAATGGGGAAATGAGATATACATTGAAGCACTAACCACATAACAGGCTCCCAAGAAATACTGTATCATTTCCTTCCTTTTCCTTTCCCACTGATAAGCCTGTGGGCCAATCTCTATGTTTCTATATTATTTATCTAGGAATTACCAACACTTCCTGCAAATATTATTTATTATCACCAATTTAATATCCTATAGCGATTTTCCAATTAAGGAGACAAACTGAAATTCTTAAAAGGCTTTTAAATAAGAAACACAATAAATCAAGAGGCTTTTTGTTCATTTTTTTTTAACATCCTTATTGTAGTATAATTGCTTTACAATGGTGTGTTAGTTTCTGCTTTATAACAAAGTGAATCAACTATACATATACATATGTTCCCATATCTCTTCCCTCTTGCGTCTTCCCATTTTTGTTTTTTAAAGAAACTTAAATAAAGACTCACCTACTGGAACTTTCTCCCAGGTTGTTATCAGCCTCGGTGGGCTTTTACTCAGAACAGTGCCAACTTCTGAAGCCCATGTGTCTCCAGCAGAGCAGGCCAGTGCAGCCAAGAGAGACAAACACATCCAAGAAGCAGTGTGCTGCTTGGAAAAATCTATTGGGATTTCCCCGGGGCCATTTTCTATCATGTATAGCAGGGCCAGCTCTGTGGGCACAGCTCCATTACAGAATACCTGAATCCAATTCCTCTGCCCACCTAGGAACAAACAAGGGAATGAAAAGGACAAAAAATGTTTTCTCCTCAGGAGGAAAATCATGCATTTTTAGGAACTTACATTTCAAAACTTAAAAGAAAAATGACTAAAATTTCAAAAATGACTAAAAGTAGGATGGTAACTTTGCCCACATTCTATATTGTTTTAGAATAATGAATGATAGACTTCAGTATTTCTACAATTCTGCTGTTATTTGCTATTGTGGTAAAGTAATAATAAACTATATCAGGCTACTACTAAAGTAATTCTCATAAAATTTATGTTTCAATAGTCTAAACATGTTCTGATTAAAAGCTTATGATATGTTAAGATGAAATAAAGGTTCCTATTTTAAGTAACGTTAAACATAATTCATTCTACCTTCCTTGTATTCTGAATCTAGACGTTTCTTTGTTTCTCCCCTCCATTTAGTGAGTCTTGAGGAAGAAAGAAAAAACATCAGCAAAGAGGTGAAAAAGCTGAAATTTGCAACGGTTAGGATAAATCCAACCACGAGCCCTGAAAGAAACACATATATACATAAAATTACACTTAGTCCATACATTAATGCTGTGAAAAAAAGAATGATTTTTTTTCAGTTATTTTCATATTATAACTGGAAATGTTCATTTCCCATACCTTTACATTTTTACCAACTAAGATATTACCAAATAGTATAGGGTCTTTCAAGTTTCTATTTTTTACATTTTCCCCCCATAGCCTGGGATGTTTTTCTACTTTACAAGGAAAATTCAATAAATAGAGCATCCAAGAGTAAATCTGGGAGAGAGAGGCATATAGAAAACAAATTCCAACATGACAGAAGTAAGTCTCCCCTTATTAGTAATTATTTTAAATGTAAATGGGTTAAATGATCCAATCAAAAGATGGAGACTGGCAAAATGGATAAAAATACATGGTCCAACTATATGCTGTCTACAAGAGACTCACTTTAAATCCAAAGACACAAATAGTCTGAAAGTAAAAGGATTGAAAAAGATAATCCATGCAAATAAGTGACCAAAAGAGAGCAGCAGTGGCTATACTAATATCAGACAAGAGAGATGAGCTCAAGACAGCATTCATGTGACATGATCTCCCTCTCTCCCTCTTTTTTTTTTTTTTTAGCATTTCTTTTCTTTTGGGCATAACAAAATGCTCAAGGCTCATCTTAGACCTACCTTGCCCCAGCCCTGGAAGCAGCCATTTCTCTGAGGAGCTCTGGTTCATTACAGTGGGGAATGGAGGGCAGAGGTCAAAATCTAGGCTTATGGTGTGTTCTACTATATTTGCTTTTTGTGGACAAAGCAAGTGAATACACACACACACAAATATACACACATGCATATATATGAATGCTTATATATGGGAACATACACATGTATATATACATACACATAAATATTTGGGGAATCACAAGATCACACCAGTAACTCCAGTTCCAATCTAGCTCCACAGGTTCTCTCTTGCTTTTCCCCATTCCATATTTGTATGCCTTTTTCCTTAGTTAGAACTCTGGCCTCAAACAACAATTACAATTTCACTCATCTGCTCAATCTCTATTACATCTAAAAAACTGTTTTAGAATTGCTTCACCCATACTACAACAAAAACAAACCTACTAAAAATAGTAATTTGTAATTCTCCCCTTCCTGTAACCCCAGACTGAAGGAATAAAGAATATAGTTAAATACTGGGTCCATAAGTTACTCTTTTTCTTTTTCTCCCTTCAGTGAGCTTATAGTATTCAATTTAAAATTAGTTTAGTTTGCTTTCAGTTTTAGATCCCCCCCTTCCCAACTTCACTGATATTCTTAAACATGCTTTTAAAAGTCACACTTATACAAAAAGGTATATTTAGAGAGGTGTCACTTCCTCCCATGTCCCTTCTGCCCCTCCCTCTATATTTTGCTCTCTTTCCATTCTTTGTATGTATTCAACATCATTGTTCTCCAGTTTATCATTCCTGTGTTTTCTTTTATGAAGATAAGCAGATATATGCATGTTTTCTTATTTTTCCTTCTTCCTTACACAAAAGGTAGCATACACATGTGTATGTGTATGTGATTTTGAACTTTCAAGCACACTTTTGACAATTTTATCTTCCTTCTTTCAGGGAGAGAATGTGCTAGTCTGCCACTGAGTACTCAGATCAGTGGCACCCAAGAGTGGCAACCATGGGGTTCATGGTTGACCATTTCTGCTCTCTGGAACTCTTAAGATAAATAGATTGAGTTTTGCTATATTAAGATTTATTTTTATTAAATAACACAATAAGCAAAGTTCTACTAAGTAACAGAATAGATATTAAATAATTATTAAATAAGTTACCATGTATTTAATAAATAAGTATTAAATAATAGAACAAGGGACCAGGTTCCTATTTCTGTAGCAATAGGAAATTTTCTATTGGTTAGCTCCATCCTGACTGATTGATCCATCCAGAGATACTCGGTTATTGGCATTTTACTTATGTTTAGTACTTTTTTACTGAGAGTGCAAGAAATCGCTATAATGCTGTATAAAGTAAAATAAAGTGCTTCAGCTCTGGAGTTGAACAGTCTCGAGTTAAAATCTTGACTCTTCCACTTACTTCTGCATGACTAGATGTTACCTAACTTTAAGCCTCAATTTCTCATTGGTGTATTAAGAAGAATAATTCCTACCTCACTGGCTTGATGTGAAAAGTTAAATGAGATAATTTTTATAATATGCTTATTATAAACCCAGCATGTAAGAGGCCCGTAATAAATGTTATCTAATATCATTGGCAATAATGGCAGTTACAGTGGCAAAACCTCAACAAGAACATCATTATTATTGCAATTATGTGTTATTATTATAATAACAAAGATGAATATTGTTATGTTACCCAACCTTTAAGTTTTTTCAATTGTTTTTAAACTTATTACAAAATTACTACATGGGTATTGGAGGGGAAAGCCAAAACATACAGAAGTCAAAGTGCCTCCTTCCCTCACCACCGCCACTCCCATCCCTTCTCCATGGTCAGTCACTGTTAACAATTTGTTCCACAGTCTTAAGCACACCCAAAGTGAGATGGCCCTAAAAAAACCTACACTGATATGCTACAAAAAGGAATCTACATCCTTTTTACTTCAAACACCTCAAAATATCACATGAAGTGATCAGTGTTCAAGTTGATGACAGGTTCGGAATGAGGAAATAAATTGAAGCTAATGTGCTTTGAAGGAATGATTTATTTTATGTAGTCTAAAAAATATCTTAGAACTTTTTGCATCTCCCAGTTATGACAACTTTTAGATTAGTAACTGCTAACTCCACTTGGTGTCTTTTCCACCTCTTCAACCCACCTCTATCATGTTTAATCGTCCGTGCTAAGGAGTTAATTTGCATAACAATCGGATGCTCCCAAAGACTGTGAAGACTCAAGAATTATGGCTGCCTTCTGAGCTTAAAACAGGTAAATTCTATAACTGGCAGATGCCATCTAGGGAAGTAAAACAACACTGTCTACAAATGTCTTTGATAGTGGGAGTAGAGTTACCCAAAATTCCAACCAAGGGGACCTGGGAATAATATCTGGGAGACAGGAAAGGGAAAGGTAGGACTGGAATTTTATAACTTAATAAACTCAAACCTAATCAATTATATTATAAGTAATTTGCCTAGAGAAAGACTATGGGAATCAAAAGAAGGCTGGTTAGCCCAAAATATAGAATATGAAGGCCAAGAGAACCAGAGGTTGGCAGACGTAAATACTATATAAGGGACAGGACTGTTTGACCTGTGGATTTGCATTACTGACTGTTTCTCAGACTCTGTACTCTGCCAAAGCAACCTTCTCATTACAATCTGACTTCTCAAGTGGTCTGACTGCAAGAACTGGACATGTCTGAACAGTGATGTTTGTATTCCAGTTGGCCCAGTAGTTCTATATTTTATCAGATTAATAAAGTAGCATTCTGGCTCATATATTAGTCTCTTATAACAATGGCAACATAAACCAGTTTTCTTGGCTCTAATCAACTCTGGGTACCTGATAGAATGAGGTTTCTATTTCAAAAGACTGAACGCCAGACCCGAATTATGATAACCAAAGAGGTAAGGCCATCCTTGTGAGAACACACAGAGCACAACCACTGGCCCTTCCTGACAACACCTCATTGGCTGTGCACTTCCATTACACTTACAGCATCTCCTTCTGGGGATTAAATGCCTCAAACCCATCTTAGTTATCATCTGTCTCCTCTGACAGTGGGATTTTTATCTATTTTGTTCATTACTAAGTCTTCAGTGCCCAGAACAATGTCTGGCATACAGGGGACCCTTACTAAATATTTGTTGAATGAATGAATAAAAAAAATGGGAAACCATTAAGCCTAAGCGTCTTGGCAAGTGAAATTAAATTTAAACTTGTCAAGCCAAGAGACTGATGACAAACTGTCCACACAGACATGTTCAAAGGAACACACTGAAAAACTAGACTAGACAACACTTTCTTGGAGCAAATCACCTGCACAGTGCTTTACAGTTCACAAGTACATTCTCACATAACCCCTCATGTGATCCTCTCCTTATTCTAGAAGCATTCTTTCTCTCAAGGAGACAAGAGCCCTTCACTTCAGTGTCCACCCTAAGCAATGCCTCAACCTCTCCCCTCTTCCTTCAACACTGAGGTATATGTTCCTGTGTCACAAAGGACTCTAAATACCCAGATCCTGAGGAAGTTCTGAAACTCTTCTCAATCCCAAGCACACTAAAGACATGGTATGGCAAACCTTAGTAAAATTCCTATGACTGTAATAGTAGTTGTGGAAGGAAAACAATACTAACATTTATAAAATACATGTTGCTATTTTATGAGTGCCAGGTCCTGTGCTAAGCATTTTACACGTATGACTCCTCATGATAAGTCAATGCTATAGATAATATTATTCCCTCTAATTTGATGGGTGGGAAAATTATAACACAAAGTTTAGGTGACTTGCAGTTATACTTCAGGACGGTATTCCCAAGTACTATGATATACCTTGAATCAACATTACAGCTTTTTGTCCTTAAGGAAAAAAAAAAGCTCCAAACAAAAAAGATACCAAAATTCCACAGAATGCAATGACTAGGAAAAGGGTAGTGGTTTTAAAATCAATCTACATATATTTCCTAAGCACTATTATAAGAGCATGTAGCGCTATTCAAAAAAGCTTAGGACACAGAAGAATATGACACACTCTGTGTCCTTGGGGAGTTTATTGTATAATACTTTATAGTTTAAAAAGATATGTTGTCCCACACATTATCTTGTTTGAGCCTCACCAATAAGCCCATAAGGACCTATTTCATAGGAGATGAAGAAAGTGAGTCTCTGAGGAGTTACGTGACATGGACAAGTTCACAAAGATAGCAGATGGCAATGCTACAATTCAAATATATATCTTTTAATTCTTTTTTTGAAAAGTCTTTACTGAATTTGTTACAATATTGCTTCTGTTTTATGTTTTGGTTTTTTGGCCACAAGGCATGTGGGATCTTAGCTCCCCGACCAGGGATCCAACCTGCTCCCCCTGCACTGGAAGGTGAAGTCTTAACCACTGGAACACCGGGGAAGTCCCTACATCTTCTAATTCTAAATCAAGCCAGGTAGGAGAGGAGTAGAGGCCAAAGGCCCAGGAGGCAGAAAAGGAAATGGTAGTAGGAAAGAAAAAAAGTGGAGATCAGAAAAGTAAGAGGAGAAACAGGATCATATACAGCATGGAAGCCAAAGGAAGACAGTACTTCAAGAAGAACTTGACGCTTCTTCCCACAGGTCAAGAACAATGAAAACCAAGGCAAGGCTATCTGAGAAAGGACATTTTTAGCAAAGCATAACTCTATATTGTTATATTCAAATAGAGATTGCTCAAATTATTTGTTATAAATGAGTAATTACTTTCAAAGTGCTAACAACAGATTTCTCAATTTCTCAACAGAACTTGACAGTGTATCTCAATTATGAAGAAGGAAAATGAGCATGATTCTGAAGAACTGTGCCTAATAATAAAAAGCACCCTATACATGTTGGCTATGTGCTAGGCTCTGAGCTAAAAACTTTATAGTAATTATCTCACTTAATTCTTACTGCAATCCTAAGAATGAAATCAGGGGTGGATCAAGATTTTGTGGGTCCTGATGCTTATAAATTGGGGGCCCTCTTTTTAAAAAAAAAGCACAAAAATATCTTTTACCTCTGTAAAATTTACAAAACAAGAAGACCATGAGAGCACACTGCTAGGGCTCTTCCTAGAACCTTGAAAGGTACCGTTGTAAATGAAATGCCATGAAGTTTAAGCTTTATTACTTTCATGATTTGTCCTTCTCTAGGTTAAATTTTTTTTTATGCACAGGAAGCATTTATTTATTTTTTGAAATTTTTAAAAATTGAAGTATAGTTGATTTACAATGTTGTGTTAATTTCTAGGTTAGATATTAAAAACCCATTTCTCTGAAAACTGAGGTACAGAGAGGTTACGTGACTTTTCCAAAGCCATAACTATTACTCAAACTCATCCTGCCTGATTCTAATGCTTGTTCTTTTACTTATCAGGCTATATTGCCTCCGTGAAGGCCTGCTCTAGTTTATAAAACTTCATGAAACATCTGCTGTATGTGAACACAGAGGGGATAGGGTGTCTCTACAGTGCATTAGGGCTAATGATTATCAGCATTTTGAAGGCTAGGTAGGCAGCTTCAAGACCTGCCAGTTCTAAATAATCCTTATCCTGTAGTGATCTCAGCCTACAGGAAGTATTTGGTGGTGGTGGTGGTGGGGGGAATCCTCATGTCTTGGGGCTTATAACACTGGTAGGATATGAAAATCCCAAAGTCAGATCAGATCCCATCAATCCCCTGGTTCAAGGCAGGGGGGATTCTAGTTTGGGATAAAATCTTTACTGTGTCCTGATAAGCCCTGTATTATCTGGCCCTTACCCACTTCTTCAACTTTATCTTACTCTACTTTTCCTTTTCTTCCTATTTTCCAGTCAAATGAGCCTTATTCTCACACCTGAACAAGCCAGGCTTGAACATGTCAGGGCCTTTCTACTTGTCTGTCAGCGGAACATGCTTCTCTCAGATCTTCTCATTTCTGACTTCTTCAGGTCCCAGTTCAAAACAACCTCTTTAGAAGAAAGGTTAATCCAGACCCTATCCACAGAAGAATGCCCCACATTCCCCAATATATACACTTTATTATCTTTAATATTTTTCTCATAAACTTTATCATTATATTAAAAGTTTTATGTATTTTATTTGTTTATTATCTATCTGTACTAAAGAATAAAAGTTCCATAAAATCTGAAATCAGCTATATCCCCAGTTTCTAGAAGAGTGGCACACAGTAACTGCTCAACAAATATTTGCTAGGAGAATAAATAAATGGCCTGTCCCCATCTCAACTCTGAAGAATGAATCAAGAATACTCAGTTGGGACTACTCTGCCTCAGGCTATTAACAGCAATTTCCAAGTGCTATTCTTCTCAATGGCTCCTCTATTTTACCTTGAGGAAAAATGTTCCAATGTTTCCGCTAGCAGAAAATTTAAACCAACTCAGGAGCAGAATAACCAAGGTCCTCAAAAGTCTATCCTACTAATCTAGTTGTTATCAATTACAAGGTTCAATTTGTACATCACACTAAAAGGGTATGTTAGTATCTGAAATTTTGACAGAATAGTAAAGTTGAGTAATGCATAACTTTATCATTGTCTAAAATATGCAACATTGTGATTCATAGGCTCATATATTCAGAATTTAGAAAACATGAGTTTAAATTATATAAGCAAGCACTTATTATATGGTTAAACACTCAGAAGAAAAACATACCTCCTAAAGCTCCACTATGATTTAGACTTTTCTTTTTAAAGCCATTAGAGACGATCAAAACGGGAACAAAAACTGAAAACAGCCAACGCCAAGGAGAAATAGGCTGTAAGTTACCTGAAAAATTATAAAGGTAGAGCATAAATTGTATGAAGCCTGCACAGGTTACCTTTGGCTGCAAGTTTTTTTGTTTTTTTGTTTTTTTTTCGGTATGCGGGCCTCTCACTGTCTTGGCCTCTCCCGTTGCGGAGCACAGGCTCCGGACGCGCAAGCTCAGCGGCTATGGCTCACGGGCCCAGCCACTCCGCGGCATGTGGGATCTTCCCGGACCGGGGCACGAACCAGCGTCCCCTACATCGGCAGGCGGACTCTCAACCACTACACCACCAGGGAAGCCCAGCTGCAAGTTTTGATAACTGCATTCTGGATTAAAATACTGTGGTACGTAGAGAAACTGAGATAAAGCCACCAAAGTAAAATATTCATGTTGAGAATTATATATTTTCAGAGAGACAATCCTAGTGGGGAATGACCAAATAAGTCCTGTCCAAGTTTAGAGAACCATTTACAACTATTTATAATAATGGGTATTTGATAGATATTTGGAGATCTGAAATGAAGCTCTGGTTCTTTATTTTTTTGGAAAGGAGGCATGTATTCATTCTCAAGAACTGTATAGAACAAATACCTTTCTTAACAGGATCCAATTATTCCTCTCTCTACCTTTCACAGAGAATTTTTTTTTTTTTTTTTTTTTTAAATTTTTATTTATTTTTTATTTATTTACTTTCTGCTACGTTGGGTCTTCATTGCTGTGCACGGGCCCTCTATAGTTGCGGTGAGCAGAGGCCACTCTTCGCTGCAGTGCGCGGGCCTCTCACTGCAGTGGCTTCTCTTGTTGCAGAGCACGGGCTCCAGGTGCGCAGGCCTCAGTAGCTGTGGCACGTGGTCTCGGCAGCTGTGGCTCGTGAGCTCCAGAGCGCAGGCTCAGCAGTTGTGGCGCACGGGCCCAGCCGCTCCACGGCATGTGGGATCCTCCGGGACCAGGGCTCGAACCCGTGTCCTCTGCACTGGCAGGTGGACTCCCAACCACTGCGCCACCAGAGAAGCCCTCACAGAGATTTTTTTAAATCCTCCCACAGGCTACACAACTCAGGACGCAAAGGTTAGCAACTGATTTTTCCAAAGGTTGCATCCAGCTCACAGATGTTTTGTTTAGCAAGCATAATTTTTTTCAGTTTGAATCAATATTTAAAGTTTAGGAAATTTCGTATAAAAATCCAGATTCTTGTTTTCTGTTTTTAAAAACTGGAAGTTCAGGCCCACGTGGCAGAATTGACTACAGGTAGAGAAGTCACCTCCTTTAGACAGGTCATGGCTTTCCCATTTAAAGTCCCCGCCATTCCTGACAGACTCTTAAACACCAAGGCTGAGTGATTATAGTAAAGAAAAGTGTGAACTATTGCTTGTGCCCAGGTTTCTATCAAAAATTGGAAAATGCAACACAAAGAGGGTGAAATGTTAAAAAAAAAAATTGGGAAAATTCTATTTCTAGAAGTGTAAACTGTTCCCATGTGCTTAATATGCACAGTAAAGCCTTGGAGAGCTTCACTTATCTGCATCAGGTGCCTGGCCCCAAGGAGTCACTTCAATTTACAAATCCTGATTTATTCTATGTAGTTCAAGTCATAGTTAATACTGGCATTAAGGAGAATCTTCTCACATACCTCTCCTACCCGAGCCCTCATCCCCTACTGGGAATCATTATGAACGAACAGCCTTGAAAGCACGTGTAACCTGGAGAACACGCACTCGATTATTCACATGTTTTTTTGCAAAAGGACTAAGGTCTAAAAAGGTAATCATTTATGATAAAACCATTTATAAGAGTTTACTTTCTCACTCTGTTTTTCACTTTTCCTTTGAACTGAACGGTATTGTTTTTATAAAGGGGTACCAATGAAGTTTGTACAAAGGCATACTTATGCTCTAAGGCAGTTTCAAAATCTTAAAGATTTGAGGGCTTCCCTGGTGGCGCAGTGGTTGAGAGTCCACCTGCTGATGCAGGGGATACGGGTTCATGCCCCGGTCCGGGAAGATCCCCCATGCCGCGGAGCAGCTGGGCCCGTGAGCCATGGCCGCTGAGCCTGCGCGTCCGGAGCCTGTGCTCCGCAACGGGAGGGGCCACAACAGTGAGAGGCCCGCGTACCGCAAAAAAGATTTGAGTTCAGAGTACCTCATATTTATGCAAATTGGCTTCAGCCTTTAAAACAAGTCTGTTCTTTTGCAGTGACCAAACAGCAGACAAATCTTCCAAATCTAAACATTGTATCATCATTTTACTTTTTATTTTTTACAGGACACATGAAACTGATAAACTTCCTTACTAATATTCTTATTAAAAGCATCACTAAAATTGCTTTGCAAAATTATGTTTAACCTCACTTATTTTTCACCAAGCTAGATGTAATAATTACATGAAATAAAAGACATTTTGGAACCGGTATAACTAGTATTATGACAAGCAGCATTTACTAAAAGCTTTAAAACGTTCAAGGCACTGCATATTTCCATGTTAGTAAATGCAAATCAGGCCGTGGAAATTAAGTAAACACAACAGTTTATAACCATTCAGAAGATATGAGTTTTGGCGTTCACAATGGTACTTTCTAAATTTCACCGATTAGGTTATAGAAAGACAATTTAGAACATTTATACTCACCATAATAGGTGCTTGCAGTCATAGACATAATCCAGAAAGCTAAAGAAATGCAAATGATCAGACTCAATATAACTATATTAGTTATCATCTCTATGTATTTTTTGTATGTATTGTGGTCAAGATCTGTCATGAAAAATAACAGTCTGAACACCTGGGGGGGGGAAATATCTCGCGTTTCTGAGAAAAATAGTCATTTAAGTTGCCAGCAAAACATTCGTGTAGAGGCGAACATAAATGCCAACATCTTCCACCGTCCGAGAAAATAATATAAACCCAAACTATTTCTGGAAACTGGGCTGGTGGGGCGCTGCCGCAGAAGCCTGAGCGAGATTAACGCCTCCCTGCGAGAGCAAACCGCAACCTCTCAGACAGCGGCGGGCTCGCAGACCGCGGTCCCTTCACACCTGAACTTCGCAACCGGGAAGGTGAAAGGGAAGCGGAAGCAGCCAATCAGCGGCCCGGGAGGGCGAGCTCCGCCCCCACCGCCCGCCCACGCGCTGACGCTGGGGGTCGGCAAATGCAGAGAGGCGAGGCGCGGTGCCGGAATTTGGGGTGTCCCGGTGGCGAGCCCCGAGTGACGGAGTGCGGTCACTCTCGACGGCCGCCCGCGCAGCCCTAGAGGCCGGGTCCAGGCGGCCAGGGCCGAGGACCCTGGAGCTCAGCTCGCTCCTCGCCGCTTGTCAGCGTCCCGTGGCTCGCCTCCTGCGCGCCTGCGCCGCGGCCACCCGTGGGCGTCGCCTCGCTTACGTGAGCGTTTAAAGGGCGGCTCCAAGGTCCAGAGGACCAAGCGAGGACTGCCGTCGGCAGGGCCCTGGTACGTTTGTAATGCTCTTTAGAGTCTGGACCCTTGGAACACCTATAAAAGTCTTGTGTTTGAGGACATACCCAAACGCTGAAAAGTGAAACCACCACCAAGGCAGTAACAGCATAGAGGAATGAAAGCAAGTGAACTTAGACCCAGTAGACCATGTCAAGCATCAGATTCGAATGCTTTTTCGTCTGTGAACAGTTCATGGCATACAATATTATGGACTTCTTTGAGGTGGGGGATATATTGGGCTGTGGAAAGGGAATTTTATGACTGAGAAGATCACTTAAAAACAGCACCTGTAAGGTGCTGGACACTGTTAGCCGCTGGAAATGTAAAGATAGCTCGACATAGTTCCTGCTATTGAATTCTCAAGTAATTATTATGTGGAACATTGTGGAAATTGTTCCCGCACCTCTCCTATTTAAAGTCTGTGCATTCAGTCAATTCACTTAGAAAGCAGAACGGCTTGTCACCTTAAACAAATGAATCTTGTGGCTTATTTCACGTTTTAATTAATTTTTGTTTGCTGGGTTAACAGTAACTAATTGGTAATTACATTACATTCTGAACTTTTTCAGTTAATTGCTGACAGTGTAAAAAGAGGAAGCAACTCACTTTCAGACATAGTACTCAAACGTGTTTTAACCTGCTGAAAGTAATTACTTTTTGAAAACTCACACTGTATTATATGCCAAGACTATTTGAAGCCCTTTCCTTTGGTAAGGCATACAATTAATTACCTGAGAACCAAATTTGTGAAGTAGGACTAAACAGTAGTGGACTTCTCTTACTATATGCATATGTAGTCTTTATGCGGAAATTATGTGCCCACTTAAGTTTTATCTGGTTCTGTTCAGCACAGGTAAGTAATTGGATTACCTTAGAAAGCTGACTGGCCCATATTAGTGATACTAGACAATTAGGCATAGTTATTATTAATAAAACCTAATATTTTTGTGGTTTGCATAGTGACCTTGTTTTTGTCTTTGCTTAGACAAAATTATGAACTGGTATTGCTTTCCCCCCCCCCCTTCACTTTAGTACAGTTACAGGGTTATCTTGCCTGATTTTGGTGTTCTATGAGATTTTTGTGTCTAATAGGAAACCATGGGCTGTGCAGGCCATCTTCTAACAACAATGAAGGCTAGCTTTGTCTGGCTAGTTCCTGAATGTCATGGATGATTTTCTCTCTCATGAATACGTAGCTAAAATTGCATATTAAATAGTAACAGTGTTGGTGACTGACTCTTCAAATGAATATTTCTCTTCCATTTTTTCCCGGTGTCCAATTATTGCTGTCGTTCTTCATAAAACAAGTTATTTGAGCTTAAGGCTGAAACAATTTGGGGGAATTAATGTAGTTAAAATATTCTTTAAAAAGAAACAATGATTTTACAATCTGATAATGTTTAGAGACTTAATCTGAAAACATTTCAACAAAGTCTTTTTCTATTTGCTTTAAAAGCCACTTTCTAGCAACAGAGAATTTTATGGTTAAGCATTTTCTAAACTATATTCCTCAAGATATTGGTAGGTACGCTACCCTCCACCACCACCTCCCCTCCAAAATACCTCTGATCAAATTTAAGGTTCAGAAATTTTGTTTCCTCATAGGACTGTTAGAGTGCACTAAAGGCTCTGAGAAGTTAAGAAACTTTGAACACTTTTGTTAAATCTTTCCAACAGAGTTAATTGTTTTACCACAGATTACTTTCCCTCAGAGAACATTACAGTTTGAGAATTGTTATTGTAATCAGAGCAACAGACTGAAAATTCATTGTTGGAGTAATAATCTTTAAATTTCACAATATAAATACCTATTTATGTTTAAGTGTTCTTTGACATAAACATTTTCTGGGATAGACATTTGATACATAATATCAATTGTACAAATCATCCCAATGGCAAAAAGCACTTACTGATGCTAGGAAAATATCAGTGGGTTCTATGTACAGTCACTTTGAATCTAAGCCAAAGGAGTGATTTAGATTTTGTGAAATCTAAAGAGAAATGTGCTAATATTAGAATGGCTAATATATACATGCCAGACCCCTGAGTCCCAAAAAGAAAAAAACATACATACAAACACACACTGCCTTGAAGGAACACAGAAAATGAAGACAGATGTGTAGACAATAACATTATAATGAGATGATGACTTTATCCAAGTTATGTATAAAACAGGACTCAAGAAGAGAAGCACTTACGTCACTTTGGTACGTTAAGGAAAAGTGTCACAGAGAGAGAGGGAGCATCAGAGCTAATACTTAAAAGATGGCAGGGGGATTGCTAAATGACCAAGCTAAAGTAAGGGCAATATGTAAAGATGTGGTGGTTAAGAGAGTGAAAAGAGAAATTCATGAGCATGGAGGATTTAGACATAAAAAGGTCTGAAATACCAGCTAAATAAGTAAACTGAAAATTCATCTGAGAGATAGGCACTATCTGCTTTCTTGGCATTGAACCCAAAGTTTTTATTTTTTTAAGCTTTCGGAGCACAAATTTTAAAAGCCTAGGCAGCAATTTGAAGACTGGTATGTTGTTTTAGATTCAACTTATTCTGAAAGGGCATTAGGAAGATGGTAGGGGACAGAGAGGGCAGGAATAAACAAATGGAATTTGTTTTTTCCCCCCGTAGACTTGAGGACAGGAACCATTTCCATCTGGTTCATTCTAGTTTGCTCAGTGTCTCTTAGTGAATGTTAAAAGTGTTTTTTAAATTAAAGTACTAAATAATATTTTAATACTTAGAAAAAATTAATAAGAAAAAATCATATCTTATTTCCTTGCTATTAAAATAATGCTTTGGTAAGCATATCTACAAATAAATCTCTGTGTGAGCCTCAAATTATTGTCAGGGTAGACAGAACATTTTTATAGCCCTTCATATATCTGGTGTAGATTGTATAACCAGTATTTAAAACAGTGCAAATAAACTATAATGTATGTTTAGATTTAATTTGAGCCATAAAATGAAAATGATAATTCCTCTTCTAGGCTTTACATATCTTTATTTTGCTTACAGTTTGCTTCAATTTAAGGAGGCAGACTTCTACAGAAGTATTTTAGGGGATCAATTTAGGGGATGGATTTCCACAGAAATGTTTATGTACATATTTTAGAAATAATAGGCATGACAGTAATTTCCTTGGAAAAGTTTTTAATATCAACATACTCAGAATACATTTTTTGTGAAAACAATATGCAATTGTTTAATATACATTATAAAATCATTAATTTTATGAAGTTTCCAACTGTCTAAATACTAAAACAATCCCATATTCTGACATAAAGAGGAACCACTTTCTATATTATACCAAAATTAAAATTTACCCGTATTCTAACATTGAGAAATGAGATTAGAAAAACCCAACATTATAAAGTCTACCTCAAAGAGATCAACAATGACTTCACAGACTGTCTTTACTGTATATATACACACAATATTTTTTATTTTAGTTTTTTGAGACACATAACCTGTCCTATTTTAATGATTCATATATTTAACAGAAGGTTATAATGTAGAGGTCAGAGAAGAGGATTTGGAGGCTGAAGACCAGTGTTCAATCTAGAACTTCCTAGATTACTGCATTTCTATCCCTTGTGCCAGCTGACACATAAATGTCTGAATGAATAAATAAATTACATTAACAAGGATTTCTTCATCTATAAATTGAGATAATACCACCTACCACACAGAATATGTGTGTAGAGCAAGTAAGAGAACTAACTGGTGCCATAGTGCTTTGTTCACCTTAAGACTCTGAGTTAAAATTATTTTTAAAGATTCGTGATAGGGTTTGTTGTTTAGTAAAAACATCAAATGTCAAACTTCAGTCTTGGCTTTGATATAATATTTTACTTACTTATGTTTTCCTTTTAACAAGGTATCATTAACAACAAATTTGTTCAGTGTTCATTTTAACGGGGAAAAAAAAGTCTTACAATTCATTAAATAAACACTGTATGTGATTCAGGTCAACACCCATGTCCTTCTAGAAAATCTCCTTTGGTAAGTCATTATAAGAAGAAAATCTGTTTGTTTCAAAAGAAAACTGGTTCATTGTAAAAAGGTCTAAAGTTTACACGTTCTCATTAAATTCCAATTCAAAGCGCTTCACACATACATCTTTCATAGCATTTATCACATTGTATTATGAATAATAGTTGTTTCTCGCAAGAGACTTTGAGCAACTTAAGGGCAGAAAATCATGTCATATTCATCTTTATATCAAATCCTAGCCTTTGGCTGGTCCTTTGTAGGGGTTAGTGCCTGGTAGACATAGAATGAATGACAGGCATAAAACAGAGGATATGTGTTGTGTCAAAGCAGAGGACAAAGAACTGTTATAATTTTGATTAGTTTTATGGTCTATGAGCTAAGTGATAAGTTTATCAACAGACTGAAAACAGGATTTTTAAAAGATTCCTTTTACGTTTTTCTCTATGAATAAAAGTAGTTTTAAGGTAGACAGATGTATGTTAAAATAATTTGATGCAGGGAGAGTTTGGAGCATGTTATTGGAACAGTAACATGAAAATGACATGGAAAAACCAGCAAAAATTTTTATTTTAGAATTACTGAGTGGTAGTTTATTCAGTGCTCTCAAATATTAATAAATGAAGTCTAAGTAACTTTGCCAAAAGCTTGTTGTATTTTATAATGCTTTATTTTTGTGATTTAAAAATGTTATATTAAGATATCAGAGTATTATTGTAGATGGGAATCAGCCTGCATTAGTGTTTTGTTTTGTATTGGGGAGGGGCGGTGAACCACGTGAGAGTTTATACTTGGGAAATATAGTTTATGTTTAAATGATTACTTGCCCAACTTATTTTGAGGTATAAAATAGAAATGGTCAGTAAG